CTTGGTATTAGAGCGTACCAGGTTTGAATACTTTGGGTACGTAGGATGTAGTTATTATCACAATGGATTTGTCTCGCTTAACTGAGACGTTAGTATGCATTGTATGCTTATGTAATAACATATTTATGTGATTATATGGGTATGAGATTTAATTTCTAGGATGTTGCTCGAGTCCACAGGTTTCTAGGAATCCTGTTAGAAAGGCACTTGATCACTGCCGTTTCTAACTAGGAACTCTAGCAACGCCGCGGGACATTCATTATCTGGAAATGAAATTCGTATGTATTTATGCGAATACGTGCTTACATGGAGTGGGTCACTGTCGTCCACCGTTTTAGGACACGAGTGAATTAGCTTCGGCACATTTGTAAATATGCTAATCTCTCTTGTTACCTTCATTAAAATGTCAGGACGTGGACGTGGTGGTAGTAGGCATGGTAGGCCTAGGAGGCATGAAGTGCCTTTACCGGACGATATTTCGACACAGGAAGAAGGGGTTGGTCAGGCCAATGTGACTGAACCGGTTGGTCAAACAGGCCATAGGCACCTTAGCCTACGAAATGGCCGGAGCATTACAAGAATCCATGGACATTCTCAGGGCTGAGAATCAAGTCCAGGCCTAGGTCGCTGAAGCAGGGCTATCATTCTTGAAGAGAGAGTTTTTCCGATCTAATCTGGACGAGTTTTTGGGTGATCTTAAAGAGCCACTGAAGGTAGATGAGTGGCTAGAGCAGATAATAAAGTCGTTCGAGATGCTTGGCATCAAGGACGACCAGTTGAGGGTGACTTTGACATCTTTCCAACTAAAAGGAGATGCAAGTCAACGGTGGAAGTATGCGCGTAGGTGCATTGGATGACTTGGGAGGTATTCGTTAACGCCTTCCAGGGCAAGTTTTTGCCCCCTACCATTAGGGAGAAGTTGAGAGACCAGTTCTCCAAGTTGGTACAGTTGAACACACCAGTGGCCGAGTTTGAGGCCACCTTCACTAGCTTGTCTAGGTTTGCACCCTAGCTTGTGGCGACTGAGAAGCGCCGTTGCTTGGAGTTTAAGAAGAGATTGAGGACCGAACTCTTGTTCAGGGTGGCCGGGTCTATGATTAGGAATTATGGACACTTTGTGAAGGCAGCGGCTCATCTAGAGATCGTGATGCAATCAGAGAAGGAGAGAATAAGAGGGTCCAGGAGGAGTCAGGATAATCAGGGGGACAGTAAAAGACAAAAGGGTTCTAACCCCCAGTCGTCTCAACGAGCGTAGTCAAGGTCCACTTTTCCAGTACCGAGTTCGGGTTCTGGGAGGGGTGGCCAAGGAGATTTTACTTGTTTCAAGTGTGGTCAGTTAGGCCACAAGTCTCTAGCTTGCCTGCAGAGAGGAGGAGGGCAACGGTCTACATCGTCTTCGGCTCGTTCTCAGAGCCAGAGTCAGGGGAGAGGCCAACCGCTCACTTGTTATCAATGTGAGCAGGCGGGGCACATGAAGAGGTTTTGCCCTCAGTTAAGAGGCACACCTAGAAACAGACACAGAGCCACCAGCAGACACAGTCAACACAGGCCTCAAAGGCCAATCAGGGAGCCTCTTCGGCTCAGTCAATGCTGCAGGCTTATGCTCTGAGGGGTGAGCAGGTAGATCAGAGGCCTACAGAGCATGTATGCTGTTACCGCGCCAGATCTTGTACTAGCGCCTTTGGTAGTGAGAGGTACCTTCTTGTTTTGCAATTCAGTCACTAATGTGTTGACTGATACGGGTGCATCCTATTCATTTATTTCGTCTGCATTTACATCGGTTTTGGGGTTGGAATTGGCTTGATTAGCATCTCTTATCTGTATAGAGTCACCTATTGGTGGTGAGATAATTTTAAAACAGGGGTGTTGGGGTTGCGAGATAGAGGTCTACGGTCGCCGATTTCCTTTTTCATTTGTATTGATTGACATGTCTAGCTTCGATGTTATTTTAGGTATGGATTGGCTATCATCATACCGGGCTATTATAGATTGCTACCGCTAGAGGGTTACTATATGTACCTTGAGCAGTGACTGTTTTCATTTCCTAGGGGACTGGGTGGATAGGTACTTATCACCGGTGTATGACCTGCGTGGGCGGAGTGAACCTAGCTATCTTTTGGCAAATTTCTTGAGTGGTGAGTATGATGAAGTCCAAGTTGAGTTACCAAGGATGGTTTGTGAATACCTAGACGTTTTTCCGGAAGACCTTACTAGTTTGCCACATCATCGAAAGATCGAGTTCTCTATTGATCTAGTGCTTAGTACGGCACCGATTTCTATGGCACCGTATAAGTTTGCACTTGCCGAGTTAAATGAGTTGAAAATTCAACTCCAAGAGTTACTAGATAAGGGTTTTATTCGCCCTAGTACGTCACATTGGAGAGCACCAGCTCTTTTTGCTAAAAAGAAAGATGGAGCGTTGTGACTTTGTATTGATTACCCGAAGTTGAACCAGATAACTATTAAGAACAAGTACCCAATGCCTCGTATAGATGATTTGTTTGATCAATTGAAGGACTCTTGTTGGCTTCTCTAAGATAGACCTGAGATCGGGTTATCACCAGTTGAGAGTAAGGGAGGAAAATATCCCGAAGACGGCATTCCGCATGCGGTATGGCCATTACGAGTTTCTAGTTATACCTTTTGGGCTAACCAATACACCAGCTGTGTTTATGGACTTGATGAACCGGATCTTCTAGGAGTTCCTGGACCGTTTTATGGTCGTCTCTATGGACGACATTTTGATTTATTCACCTTCTGATGATGAGCACGAGAAACATTTGCGGGTAGTGCTTGAGCTACTTAGAGCCCACAAACTGTATGCTAAGTTTGGAAAGTGTGAATTCTGGTTGAGAGATGTTTGGTATGTTTGGTTTGTGTTTGAGAGATGTGTTTTAGAGATAAAAAGTACGAAAAGTTGTTTGGTTTGGTTTTTTTCAAAAGATGTTTTGGAAAA